ATAATGGGTTAGAGCTTAAAATTTGTCCCAAAAGTTTTTACACAGGAACTCTTGGTATGTGGAAGTTTTTTTGGGAGCAGATTTTCCTAAAGATTTAAAATCGTAACAATATTGCACCCTATCATTAAAAATATTAACGGCAAATATTACAATTTTAACGGTCAACATTAGACTTTTTGATGGTAGGGAACAATATTGCCATGATCCTAAATTTTCTGGGATAAATTTGCTCCTAAAATAGTTTTCAGATGCCCAATACTTTTAAGTGAAAACTTCTAGAATAAATTTGCATCTTTGCCATTAAATAATTTATTTACATTAAGGATCATTTGTGTATATCGGTTATCAGATTGGTTAGAAATGTAATTTTGGCAATAAACATTGTGTAAATAGACCAGATCTTGTATATGAATAGTTTGTAATGAGGAGATTATTATTCATAAATTCATTGAATAATACACACACACAACTTCTTACATCGCACACCACACAAACCAATCAATATAGCTACCATGAATATCTTATCTCTCCGATCCACTTTTCAAAAGGAAAAGTCAAACTTGGTGGATTAAATGTACCTGAGGAAGCAGCCATCGTAGACGACATGGCCACCGTAGGAACCGGTGGAGCAGCTGCGGATTTGTGCGGCGGCGACGTCTAAGCACCTGACACAGTCAGCAACGGAGAGATAGTTTCTGCATTGCAAAAGAGTGGAAACAGGGTTTCCTCCATTGCCTTCCCGTGCGGTGGCGAAGTGCTTGTTTGGGTCACTGATTTGCTCCCTGATTTCTTGCAGCGTTAAGTTCAGATTGTCATTGAAGATGGTGTAGTCCGACACGACGAACTGGTTGGGTGGGCTGCACCCTATCATCAGAAGATTGGTCTGCGGGTCCGAAACGACGCCGTAAAAAACCCAGCATGCCCAGAATATGGAGATAAATAAGTTAAGGAGATTAGGGCGCTGAAGCATCGTTTAGTGGAGCTTACTGGCTGGAAATATTGTAATGCTTGGGTTAGTTCTGTGGGGAGAGAGTGAAAATGAAGAAGGAAAGAGAGAGCATGTGGTGTCTGGCTATGCCAACGAACTACGAGGCGTATACTCAAAGGACCGAATTAATGTTGTTTGAAAAGACGAAGTCAAATTAAAGCCGCGTTCCCCAATGGTAAGTGTAGGGGTAGAAATTTGGGTCTTTAGTTTGAACTTTATGAGCTTTCCTTTGCTAGTTTGTGTCTGAACTCTGGAAATTCGTGTTTTCTAGGCAAAGGACGTAAGAGAGGAGTTTGTGCCTACTACTACCTCCTATCTCCGAGCTCGAGTTTGACCCTAAATATTCTCAATCCCTTTTATACCCCATAATTATACATATATTAGATTATTCCTATTAATTCTAGATATCAAGGGAGTTTGCAAGAATAAGTGGTTTCAATGAAAAATGATTTAAGAGGGTATTTTTAAAAATCAATATATATTTTTTATAAATAACTAATTTAACTAATTTTCTTGATTTACTTAAATTAATACTACCTCCAGTCTTTAATATAAGAGTTAGTTGACTAATTTAAATAGATTAAAAAAGTTAATTAGTTATTTATAATAAATAGGTGTTGTTTTTTCTAAAACACCCTTACTAATCAAGCATATTAGCTAAAACTACCATTACTACAAGGACCATTTTGAGAAATAATAGATAAATATAAAAAATAAAATGGATTCGAGTATATATTTAAGACCAAAATAAAATTTAAGCTAACTCTTATATTAAGGAGTAGACATAATAAATTTCATATTAATTAAGGACAGGAGACAGTACTTTATAAGATTATAACTTGTTTAGTCTCAGTATAATTTTGCTTTAAATTTGTTTCGGATGTTCTTTTGGGCTTTTAGAACAGCATGTTCTCTCTTTTGACAAGAATAAGATAGTAAAAATCAGGCTAGTCATTAAATTGATCAGGAGGATTAGTGGGTAAAATGGAAATAAATTTAATGTCAAACCAATCATTTAGAAGAATATAATTAACAAGAGAGTGTTTCATGTTTGAGCTCCACCAAACAAGTCTTTGGACATCTACTCGTATGGTCACTATTACAGGGAATTGGCCCTTGCAGTGCTGATGCATGCAGCGTGAAGATGAATTTTCCTCTCATTATACTCCTCCGATCCTTAATATAAGACCCATTTAACTAATTTGATTAAATTAAGGAAGTTAGGTAAGTTGGTTAATTATAAGAAAAGTGACACATTTTTCCTAAAACACCATAATCATCTTTCTTAATACCCCATCTCCCTCTTCTATTTGATTATGGTTGAGAGAATATCCATAGGGGTAATTTAGAGAAAATTGATAAATATGAGAAATAGATCTTATATTTAAGACCAAAACCAACTCAACAATTGGGTCCTATATTAAGGACCGGAGGAGTATGTTGTTATTTGGGTTCATACTGAGTGTTTATACTTTACAGCTTTGACAAAAAAAACTGAACCATTCAAAATTCATTATGATGATATTGAAAGCTTTCAATGTGATATTTTTAAATAATAAATTTTTTCCCCCTAAACTGTACACTTTTTTTGCCAACTGAATTGTACACTATCAAAATAATAAAACATTAAAATCAAAATAATAAAATAAAATAAAATATGAATCAAACAAATTTAATGTCAGGGGGGGATTTGAGATGAGCACCAGCCGTTGATGAGCAGAGGATGCAGATTTCTGTTTTGCGGTTGTTTGGTGTTTTATGCTTGGACTGTGAAAACGTTGTCGTTTTCAGGTCAAATAAAAAGAAAGCGCGTTCAATTATGCAGCATTTGCCTGGTCAGAGGGAAGACGGGTTCTTTTGTAGTTTCCGTTTTGATGTGGCACATTACCATCTCCGATCAATCTTGTGGGGCTATTTGGTTACACCCACTCCAATACGTTTTGGATGGAACAGAGTCAATTGACTGGCTCGGTTTCAATAAGGTGTGGTCCGTACATAGGAAAAATACTTTTTTTTTTTGGAGAAAATTGCAAAAAAAGATCTATTGGAATTTTTTTTCACCTAAAGGTATCTAAAATTTGTCTGAAGGCTATTTTCTCAAAAATCCCCGTTAAAATATTTATAGCTTAAAAGTATTTAAAATATTTATATATGCGGGTGTGACTCATTTTTTCAGTGGATGTAACTATTTTTTGACTGTATGAAACATGTTTTCAGTTATATATGTGCAAAGGTCTTTCATTCTGTCTATAAAATAGAATGCGTGTGACTTATCTCTCATGTGTGTAGTGTTTTTTTAAAGTGTGTGCAACTCGTAAAAAATAATTGTGCAAAAAAGGAATGATATTTGAAAGGATGTAGTCAACTTGCACTACTGCAGAATTTAATGATAGAGAATTGGATTTATTTTGAATTTTATGAAGTGCCCTGGTCAGGAGGCAACATAGAGATATTGAGAGTTAAAAAAAAAAATTTAAGAAAAAGATGAAATTATTCCTTTTTCTTCCTTAAACTAAGTCTTTTTTAAGCGATTTAATTCAGTTGGATACTTGAATTAGGGAAATTTCTTTTAAGCACCAAGGGACTTTGATAATACAGCTCATGGACTTATGCTAATGTAGGCTTACACATTTTGCACCTATTAGTTGGATTGAAATCCTAGAAGCTTCCCATTACTCCATATTCAACAACCATACTCCACCAATGACAATTAATTCTATGTCATCCATATTGTACTCCACATTCTTGAAAGGTAAAATTATCATGCTGATCATATTACATAATTCAAGGCACTACTAGCATTGGATTAAACAAAAAAAAAACAGTATAGGTAGAAATATACTCTTTCAATTCTAAATATAAGTCACTTTTAACTCATTTATGCATACAAAAACAAGCATTAAAGTTTCCATAAAATTGATATAATTTTCAATATTATTATTAACTGCACTAAATTCCACTATATCATATTAATTTTTGCCTTCTTTTACTATATCTACCTCATCGTCGCCATTACAGCGCATAAACGAAAAATATATAATGCTCCAACAATCTTATAAAGTGACTAATAAAAGGGAACAAAAAAAAAGGTTTAAAAAATGCCTCATGTGTGTGTGTGATTAGAGGAAGTATTTCCATATGCCTTAATTAGTTTCAATCAAAATAGGCAGAGTGGGCTTCCTATTCTCTAACAAATCCTTCTTTTGTTGGAGCAAAACAACTACTTCAGACATCATTGGCCTTCCTTCTGCAGATGCTTGAGTGCAAAGCAAACCAATCCCTATCATTTTCTTCACTTCGTCTTCAATATAGTCAGGAGGGCTTAAGGTTTTGTCCACCAACTCTAGGTGCATATCTCTCTCATATAATTTCCAAGCCTAACAATTGACAATTAAAATTAAGTGAAATAACATGGGGTATAACAGGTAGAGCAAAACAGAGGTTAATGTTTTCTCAAATATTTATTTTTAATTCTCAAAGAAGGAACTAATAGCTTTACCAGAAAGAGTTTAACTAAGTTCGTTAAAGAAGTCTTGAATCTAAATTTTCTATAAAAAAAATTGCATTTTAGAAAATTTTTAGAATTTTTCTTACCTTTTGAAGGAGGAATTCACCCTCATCATCACCATCGATAGTTAATTCTTTACTTTGTCAACCACTAATGATTTCTAAGACTACAACACCGTAACTATAGATATCAGCCTTCTCTGATAATTGGCCATGAATAAAATATTCAAGTGCTGTGTATCCTCTAACAAATGCACAATATTAAATTACAATTATCAGAATATAGTCTAAACCACAAACACGTAAATATTAAGAAACCATTTATATGAGCAATTGTTTTTCAAATATTAAGAAACCATGAGAGTATGAAATGAAGATATGCAACATAAAAGGAATGCAGCATGTACCACATCAATACAAATGATTTCTTGAAGCATTCATGTTATATGAAAAGGAAAAAAATAAAAAAAAATATTAAAACTATTTAGAGGAGTAGGAGTGTTCCATTGACTTGTACATAGATTTTATCTTCAATAATTTATATACAGTAGTAGAGGTTTAGAAAATTAAACATATTATGTTGACTTACAATGTTCCTGCAAATTTTATACTGAGATGAGATTTATCCTTAGGCAAAAGCCTCGCCAATCCAAAATCAGCAATTTTAGACTGTATATTATCATCTAAAAGGATGTTGTTAGTCTTTATATCTCTATGTATGATACAAACACGAAACTCCTCATGTAGATAAGCCAACCCTTTTGCTGTTCCTAAAATTATGTTACACCTTTGCTTCCAGTTGAGAGAACCCTTCTCTTTACCTATTTTCCAAATTCACACAAATTAATTTGAAGGGAATGATTAAAGAGGAGGGGCTTACATTAAAGTCATCCTCTGATTCAACTGCAAATAGATCTAGAAGATTACCAAGTCCTTCAATAAGATTATGACGTGAGTAATTTTTCTTAAGGGCGTCAATGATACGTGGTTAACTTAAAAAAAAAAAATCATATATCCACCTGAAAAAAGTTATGAATAATTATAATAACTTCTATTTGAATACTGAGACATCATTATTGTGTGTTGATAGGAACTTACCAAATAGGTACCTGTCAAGACTATTATTTTTCATGTATTCATAGACAAGAATTCTGTTTTGTCCTTTACTGCAACATCCTAGAAGTCGAACAAGATTTAGATGATGAACATTACGTATCAAATTCACTTCACTCTCAAACTCTTCCTCCATCCTTGTGAATTGGCGAAAATTTAATTTCTTGATTGCAACTACTTTCCCACTTTTCAGAGTACCCTAGTCAAGACAAAATGGTATAAGGACTTTGACCATGAAAGTGTTTTTCTGAATATGTAAATACGTTGAAAATCAAATTAAAGTTACCTTGTATACAACGCCAAACCCTCCTTCTCCAAGTTTATTTTCTTCTCTAAAATTCTTGGTTGCCAACATCAAATCCTTATAACTGTAAGTAATTGGGCGGTTTAACTTGCTTGCTCCAGTTATCTCTTCTTCTGTTCAGGAGAGCATTGGTCAATATATATTTGTCATTTTTTTAAAAATAAAACTAGTTAGGAATTGTTCTCTGAAGTTTAACTTCTCTTAATTTGTCGTTTTGGGGTTACTCTAAAAATTAACCAAATTAATGCAATATAGTGCACAATCCGGGTCATGTTCACTTTGAGGAGCCGAAAACGAAATTAAATCCTAGTAAATAAATGCAAGTAACCTAAACTATAAAAAGGATTTTGATTTTGAGGAATTGCTAACTAAATGCCTTGAATTAAACTGAAATTAAAATATTTTTTTTGTTTTTATATAAAAGTGATTAAAATGAATGAAGATTAAAGAAATGAAAATGAGACACACAAATAACAATAATAATAATCAATCCTCCAATTCAACAACTCAGGCAATCATCACTCTAAAAGATGTGGGAGTTAAAACAATGAATTAAGAATTATAATTAAGCTTTTAATCCAACAACCGAGCCACCTCGAATTGCCTCAAAATATTTTCCCAAAAATTCAAATTACTAATTGCAACCAGAATAATAGAATGAAATTAAGGATACTAAAAACCAATGCTCAATTAAATTCTTAAATTCACAACAAGAGACTTAAAGCTAGCAAGAGACAATATGATCCAAGATTCTAAGCCACCTTAAAAAATCACAATATATTAACTCCAAAATCAATACAAATGTCATAACCACAACATCATAATTGAAATCAAAGCTATAAACAACCCAATGTCAAATACTAAACAATAATCCAGTCACAATAATCCCCAAATATAATCAGATTAAGCAATATAATTATCCCAACAATCAGAAAAACTATCCTAAGACCTAGAAATTGTTAAACAATTATTGAGTAAGAAATTAAAGCAACTAAAACTCCCCTTTGATGATCCAAGCTCCTGCCATTATTGTTGAATTAGAGAATTAGGAAGCTAGCCACGGTTTGCCATGAGAATTGCCATATTCAGAATTCTGCTACAGGTTTCCATCGAAAAACACTGTTCACGCTGAATCTGTCGTGCTCGTGCTTGCCGCCTGGTTCGCTCTTCTGCTCCCGTCCAGCTCTCTCTCCGTCTCTGGCTTCAGCGCCGTCAAGCTGGTTTGTGCCTTCCGTTCCTGTGTGTTTCTCCAACCGCGCCTCCCGCGTGTGTGTGTTTTTGTTCGGCCTTTTCGTTTTTCCACTGGTGCCTTTTGTTCTGCCGCGCCTCCAGCTTCTCCCCTCTGTCTCATATCCGGCTTGCTCTGTTTTGTATTCGCCGCCGTTCAGCTCTGTTCGTCCGTCCCTCTGTTTTGTCTCCAGCCACGCCTCCAGCTTCCGTTCCGTCCGCGCCTGCGTCTTCTGTTGCGTCTCTCCTCTGGCTCGTAACGGTTCCAGCTCGTGGGTGTGTGTGTGTTTCTTTGTGCTCTCCAGCCCTTCAGCGCCGCTTGCGTCCTCTCCGTCTCGTGCCTCCTGTTCGTGCCTCCGCCTCAGCTCTTCCTCTGTTTCGCTCCCCAGTTCCCTCCAGCCGCGCCTCGCGTGTGTGCCCGCGTTTCCGTTCGGCCTCCTATTGGTTCCGTTCGTCTGGAGATGATGATTATTAGGTTGGGGCAAAACGTTGCGTTTTGCCCCCAACTTATTATTATATTTTTTTTCTTTTAATTTAATTTTTTTTGCTTTTTTTATTTATTTATTTTTTTTATTTTTGAATCTTCTAAGAACCTGCAAGCAAAATTCAAGGATAAGGTAGTATTAATTGTCCTTAAAAATTAATTAATCATAATTAAATCAAAACATGACAATTTTGCCCCTATAAAATAATAATTCAAAATAAAACAAAATAAATCAATTAAGGCAAAAAGGGACCAATTAAATTGACAAAACTCATATAAAAATAATTGAGTTTGTCATTCTCATCAGAGAGATGGAAGTCTACATTCTTTCATGGAAAAAGTGAAAGTCAATGTATCTCCTTATATCGGTAAATGTATATAATAGCTGGAGACTTTCCAAGTGATTTACCTGTAGGAACTCTCTTAGAAGTTTTTGGTCGTCAGAACCAGGCAAATGAAGCAAAAAGGATCAGAAGAAAAGCTACACCTCCAACAACAACACCAGTAATTTACCCTTTCTTGCTTGAACCTGCACATATAGTAGAAAAGAGAGATCCATTGCATTTTCAAATGAGTTAGTAGTTTCTTGTTAGTTAAATATGCCTTCATAAGACTGTAACATCTCAAATTTTGGCTCATAGATACAAACAATAGCATAGGAAAAGGGTGATTACTAAGTCCAATACAACGAAAGTCCCGGAGATCCCTCAGAAGGACAAAGAGATTTTCCAAAGGTAAATGTGTAAAACAATAGTGTTCGGGGACTAAAGAATGATGAACTAGAAACAACTAAGGGCCAGAGATTATGCCAGAAACTTGCAAGAGATGGTTCCGAAGGTTAGGCCTAAGGAGGGACCAAATTGCAAAGAAAAGATTCCTAGGCCAGGTAGGGACGTAATTGTAAATAATAAAAGTTCTGGTCGGCTAATGCTCAGAGTTAGCAAAAAGAGCCCAAATGACTTAGAAAAATTCTAAAAAAAATGGAAATAGGATCTCAAAGCCGATATAAGGTTAGAAATGATGGAAATGCCCGGAAGTCATTCTAGGATTTTAGACAATTTGAGATAGTAACTTAAATTGAATTATTTAAACTATGAGATGGCCTCAAATAATCAGGAAAAACTAGAGAATAGTAGTTGAGGAATTTACATAGATTGTAAAATTCATTCCGTCCCCAGAAACTAACAAGGTTAGCTTTAATTAAATTTAAAACCTATTTATACCCTATCAGGGGAAAGTCAAAATAGCTGTCTAGAATTTGACTTTTGACCCGAGAAAAATTAGAAAAATTTCCTGTGATGAAAAGGAAAGAATGAAACTCAAAGACAGATCAACGGAGTTACGAACCGATGGAAAGAATTCGAAGAATATAACCCTGACTAAGTATTATTTAATAATATTTCTGGGAAAAGGAGAAAGAAAATATCTAAAGACCATCATGACAGCGCTGAGTCACCAAATGCAATCATGACAGAGTCATCATGCTGAGTCAGCAGAAGATATTTATAGACAGCATAAAAATCAGAATGCAGTACGGGAATATTTTAGACAGTCCTTTGTCTACCCGTTATAGTGAAATCTCTACTGCGTAACTCAGTAAAGTTAAGTAGCTTGTCAGTAGAGCTAATTATTTTCATCTATGCTCCTCTAAGATGACGCCATATATGTACTTAATTAGGATGAGAAAATAGTGCCAGAATATGTCCCAGTAGTACCGGGTCAGTCAAGCTCAAAAAAAAGTACCCGATACGGTGCAGAATGGCAAAATAGGTAGAGGAATGCCTAAAGGCTATATTTGGCACGAATTTTATATTAATTTCTTCTCTATTTTAATACTGAAATGATGAAGAAATATGAAAGTGACAAATGTACGGTTAGATAGGAAAAGAAGGTATTACGTGTACGATTGGATGTAAGACACGTGTACAGTCATATGCAAGACACGTGTGCGGTTGGATTAAAGACATGTGGCTTGATTATGTAAGCATGATGTCATCAAGATGAGGTAAGCATGATGTCATAGGACACATGTCATCACAAGATAAAAAGAGAAAATGGACGGTCCAGATCAAGCCACATATTTTTAAGATCAACGGCCGAGATTTAGTCTTGTTTTCTATAAATACCCCTCCCTTCCCTATCATTTCGTCCAAGCACGAGGAACCCATAGGGAAGTTCTTGCAAAATGGTTTCTAGAGAGAGAAAGAAGAGGGAGAAAGAAAGGTCAAGTGGTCCCAAGCCAGATCAAGCTCTCAAACAAGGTATGTGTGTCGTTTTTTATGTAGTTTTCGCTACCCTTATTGTTGTTGAGTTTGGTTGTGGGTTTTAATGGTTTTTGCGAGCTTGAAACCCTTGGGGGGCATGCTGCAAGAAATTGATGAGGTTAGGGAAAGATGAAATAGATGTTAGAAACATGTTTAAAGGTTTGGAAATAACAAGAATCAAGTGGTTCTGTGTTGATTTTGCAAGAAATCCAACTTTCCCTTAGTTTGTAATTCTATTCGGCCTTGACTGTTCTGAATGGTTAGGATTAGATTTTGATTGTTTTGAGCTTAGGAATAGATTCTACATACAAAATTATGTGGTAATAGTATGTGGAAATAATTTTAGGAAAGTTGGAATTGAAACTCAAGAGTTAGAGTTCAAGTATGATCAAGAAAGAATCAAGTAGAGATAAGCTGATGACTTGATTCTAATAATTGTTTTGCATCATGTATTGATGTGTTTAGGACCTTGGAACATCCAAGAGAATGTTTAATGGTGTTGACCGAAAATCCATAGGGTTGGAAAGACAAGGGAATCAAAGGAAAAGCAAGAGGAAAGTTATGTTATAAGGCAGTGAACTTACCTATAATGTGTACTTGATATGTATGCCTGCATGATGTGGTTGTGTTGTCATGATGTAACTAAGTTATGATGAAATGTTTGCAAAGTTATGTTTGCAATTTTATATTATGTTTTGCCTTAGCAATATGTTATGAAAGCATGAAATGCTTTAACTTACTTTTGATGGCATTCATGTGTTAATGTTATAACATGTCATGCATGTGCATTTTGGGTAGTGTTTGCTACTAAGATTTCCTCAAATTTCACCCCTCCCTAACCAACCATTTAGGTCAATCAATGGTGGGCAATAATGACACGAGAGGCAAGGAGAAGAGAGTGGAGAATTATTGACGTTAATGAATGATGTTATTATTCAATGTGTAATTCTCCTATTATGTAATTTATGTTATGGATGCCAATGATACTATGTATTTAATTACAATGTTCATGAGAGGAATAGAAATGTATGAGGATGATTGAGAAAGCATAAACTCAATTTATGTATGCCAAAGAAATAGAAAGAATTAAAGTAAAAAGAGGTTAATGGATAAAAGTAAGTCATGGAGCAGTGAGTTTGTAGCTCCAGTTTGACCTATCAAATGAATGAGTTAAGTGACAGAATTTGACAGATTCACAGTACACATCCCAAGCTTTAAAATGAGAGGTAGATCGCCTCAATCGGATGTGTACACAAGGAGATACGATTTTTATAGAATTAGTTATGATTTTTTAAAATTGAACCTAAAATCTGAGTTTAAACAATGAAAAGTAATCCGAGTGGTTATGTTGAAAATTTTTAATCCACGGGCTTGTATTTTGACCTGCTTGAACCATAACGCTTACGATACGTACTTTGAGGGGTTAAAGGTAGGATGTTTCAAAGACAACTTTTTATTAAACATGTATGCTAATATGAGATATATATTACTCATATATAAGCAGGAGATTTACATTTCTACATAAGAAGATTGAATTTATAGTATTTGTGTTAAATTCAAACCTTTAAATAATGAAGCATACGTACCTTGTTTCTTCAAGGGTGTGATAGAGATGGTCTGGTTACCAGGAAAGAAGGAGGTGGTGGAGTATATCATGAAACACCCATCTGCAAAAGCCTTACCATCTGAATTGGGAAGACAAGTTGGCATATCGCTAGACGCTGCGTTTAAGCAATTGAAGCAACCACTCTGTGTGACAGTTTCAATACATCGAGCAAAGGCATATATAATTGGACCATTATTAGGCACTTGGGCTTTGGTAGCTGCATGAAAGCCAGTGATGGTTGGTGTTGTCGTTTGGAGATTCATTAACACTTGTTGCACAGATGAAGTAAATGTAGAGGATTCTCCTTTAGTCTGATTCCCACCACATGAAACGGCATTAAAAGTCGCTGTCGTTTGGTCAAAGAAAGCACTTGTCTCATACCTTAGCATCCCACAAAGTCATACCAAATCATCTTTCCAATATCATTATAAAATTGCATTGATTAGTTATTGACCTACTTGATGTGGTACATCTCTTTAAATATCAAAGCTATGATTTTGGTAATAAGCAGAGTGTAAATTTAGGTTTTATACATTTGTCTCTAATAGGTAATAAATTATCCATAAATTTATTCAAGGAATAAGACTCTAACTCACAATTCATATAAAGCTTTCTATAAATCTAGCCAAAGTTATGTCTTGTCTTGCTGGCGTCTGATATTCTATTAACCCACTTTTCAAACTCACAAGCTATTTTGAATTATGTCCTGGTCATACTTTCTTATGCTTAATAGCTTTCTCTTCCTAGTCTTCCTTTTCTTGTCTTTAATCTTCTCCTTGTGCTTTTACCAAAACATTAATTATTAAAATTTTTTGACTTAAATTTATATTCCTAGACTGAATTATTCCTAGATTGAATTACTAGTATTTATAGACTGATTTAGGTAACATGGACCAGCCAGAGGGGCATCTAATGGTCGTCGAGCATTTATACTCATTTATTGCGTGTGTGACGTGTGTGTTGATGAATTTTCCAACTCTTTTTTTTTTTTTTTGGCCTGAAGCCAACTCTCTTTGTTGATCGTAATTTGTTAAGATCTCGTCTATTAAATTATCTGCCTGAGAAATAATCAACTTTTGATTTCATCAATTGTATTTAAAATCTTGCAAGTACATAATTTTTTTAAGAAATTTGATGAATCAAATCATTACCTCATCATTAAAATGAGAATGAGTAAATCTAGGAAAAACCTCTATAAAAAAAAACCCTTAAAATTTTAAAATCCCAAATGAAGAATGATTAAAAAATGTATTGTCATTTGTTTTATAAATAGTCAATTATTATTAAAACATAGCAAATAAGAATGATTTGAAATTTTGAAATTCAATAATATTTTCTTGGGATTCCCCCTAAATCTGTTGTTATTAAACTTTAATTTCATATTATCATCTACTTTAAGTAATTATACTTAACTAAAGTTTTATTTCTCCTTTGTCTCTACTGTTTAATTAACCTATGCAAATACAAACAAAACAAAAAAGAAAACACGGTCGCAAACCTCACAACACAAATGGAAAGTCACAAACTAGTCGGTGATCACGCAATAAATATCTTATCTCTAAGGCCTAAGGTTATGCTATTCCAACAGGAAAGTCAAAATTGGACCAGGTGGGTTAGTCTTATCTTGTACCTGAGGAAACAGCCGTCGTCGACGACACGGGCACCGTGTGCTCCGCCGTAGCAGTTGCGGATCTGAACGGAAACCACATCGAAGCAGGCGGCACAGTCGGGGATGGAGAGGTAATTTCTGCACTGAAAAAGAGTGGAACCTGGGTCATTTCCGCCGCCTTGCTGCGCCGTAGCGAAGTACTTGTTGCGAGTCACGATCTGCCCTTGGACTTCTCTAAACGTTGTGTTAAGGTTTCGTTGAACGTCGAGAAGTTGGACATGAAGTATTCGTAGAACGGGCTGCATCCACTGTGCAGAAGGTGGGTCTGTGGATCTGAAACGACGCCGCTTACAGTCCAGCGTGACCAGAATATGAAGAAGGTCGCCAAGAGAAGAAAGAGATTATTAGGACGTTGAAGCATCTTTTTGTTGAGACTGGTTCGAAGATGGTTCATGCATGTTTTGCACTTATTATCAGTCGGATGAAGCAGTTTCTTAACATATTTCTTAAATTTAAACATTCTTGAAGGACGCAACAGCAATTTGGAGGGGGTGATCATGCAATTTTTCAAAGTTTTGGGACCGACACGCATAGAGATTTTGTTGCACCTTGCCTTCAACTCAAGGCACGCGGCCTTCACAAAAATGGCGAGAAGACTTGGAAATTTCCAACATTGACTGGCACAGAAAAGTCACTCACTTTAAGTTCGGCCCATGAATGAACAGCCAGGTGGCAATAAAATGGTCATAAAAAGATTGTCACGAGTTCTCAAATATCATATTATTTATATTTTTTAATTTTAAGTACAAGGATAAAAACTAAATGAAAAATTACAAAAAAAATCTTTAAAATAGAAAAATTGTACATAAGACCTGTTACAATATTAGTATTAGTTTTCATAACGATTGATAAACAAATCACAATAATTTTTGTGGACAGGTTCTGTATGCAACTTTTTAATTTTTAGAGACTTTTTTTTTGCAATTTTCTTAAAACCAAATTTAGAGAGTATACTCATATTGAATAAATTTCATTCTAAAAATAATAATTATGTTAATTCAAATTATTTTTATTATACATAATATAAATGATATAAACAACCAAATTGAATTTAGTAGAAAAGGTTAATCTTCCACAATGCAGTGGACTAAAATTTAAATTCTTACTAAAAACTACGTTCATATTTAGTGCCTAAAATTATTCGACCGGAGGATACATATAGTTAGTAAAAAAAAAAAAAATAAATGATGTAATAATAGTATGCTTTTAGGGGGAAAAAAGTGAAGGAATAAAACCTCCGCTTTCCTTATCCTTAGTTGCTACTATTTTCATTTTTTAATATAAAATCTAGTTGCCTAATTTAGAGATATTAAGAAAATTAGCTAATTTAGGTATTTGTAATAAATCAGTGTTATCTTTCCTAGAATATCATTACTAATAATGTATATTAGTTAAAACTACTATTTGATGAAACATTTAACATGTGTAACTACTATAAGAACTACTTTAAAAAAATAAATAAATATGAATGATAAAATGAATCAAGGTCTTATATTTAGGATCAAGTTAAAAGTTAAACCAACTCTTATATTAAATACTGGTAGTACTCTATTACAGTTGGCAAAAAAATAGTTATTACTCTACTATAAGTGAAAGTGATTTTTACGTTAGCTTATTCATTTCTCGTGAATACTGAGTTTATTCTTAATACAAAATTATAAAACCATTTTTAATATGATAACCATGGTAGAAAAAGAATTAAGTTAGAGCATTAAAATACTATCATGGTTATAAAGAGTTTGTCTTAACATCCCAAGAGACTCTGGATACATAAAACACCCATGAGTTTAACAAAAGTTTAACAACACGTAGAACAAAGACTTAGGGCACAATAACTGCCCACAAGCCCAACATAAACATTTATCCTATAAAGACTTATGGTACAAGAAACACAGGGTGCTTAATCCAGCCCACAAGTCATAAACATATATAAGAGTAACACAAACAATAGAATCTTATGGCCTCTAGTCATTCTAACAGTACTTCATCAAGTATAGTCATCCAACAACCTAACCAAGAAAAGTATATGTTAACAAAATTATGGGTCCTAAAATGGTAATATACATAATATTACATGCCTAAACCAAAAGAGGACTGCTAATCTATGCTTGCTTATGCCGCTAGTTGCTTCCCTTGGCACCAAGCCAAACTAGATGGCTCTCCTAAAAAGCATTGATGAATAGCAGAGTGAGATATAAAGTCCTAGTAACCAAGTATTAATTTATGACATATACAAGTAGGATGACAAGTTGGTGAAGTAGTGCTCAGATATAATTTAAGTAATAAATGATACTTTAATAGATACAATAGTATAAAATGAGTATATCTCACCATCCACAAAACAATTCATATAAAAAGTATATATATGCAATAATACAACGAAATATGTCCTCTCATCACCTTGCTCCTCCTTATGACTCCTTAACAAGCACCTGGGCTTTCTGTGTTGAGTAACCCGACCTAAAGTCACCCTGTTCACATCAAGTAATGGGCCCCCTTTTATACCTACACTGCCCAAGAATGGACTATGGTGCAAGAGATATCTACCCAAGAGTTCGTCCTTAATTTCGGGCCAAGGAAAAAGAAGAACTATAAGGGTCTAACAAAAAAGTCAAACACTAGGATCAATAGTGTAGGCATGTTGTGCGGGTTTTAAGAACAATTATCCTCCACATAACAAAATCCCAACCTCCACATATGAACCCCATGCATAGTCACAATATATATTAAAAATATCATAGTTCTTTAGGTAAGATAATATAATTTCAAACAAAGTACAACATATTTTCATTTTATTTAATAACATAATATTAGTATATTAAATTCAACACCACAAAAAATATAATTTCTAATAAAACACAACTCGGGCATAATTAAATCAACATACTTCTTATTTCACCAAAATTTGTCATATAGGAAAATATATACTTTATTCATAGACATACTTTCACAAATTAATTTGAGAAAATAAAAACATAATAAACACCTTACAATCCAAAGCATATATATAAAATAAATTAACCCCGATTATCTCTACTCCAAGTTTAACCTCACAATTTGAGAAATAAGAGTACAAATTACAGACTTCGAAGTACAGGATAATCTACAAATAATGTAGATACAATTTAATATGCATACAAATAAATAACTTAAATTACATAGAATTTGTTATTATTAATATTTATACATATATTTACTATCCAAAAATTCTTACTTGAAATAACAATTTTCTTCTACCCAAATAACTCATTTAAATTATAGATATTTATAAAAATATTGTTTTTATCTAATATTGTAAAAAATCAATTTATAACTTAAGTTTCTAGCTTCAAAATTTTTCTAATAACATATCCTTAACCTATTTCACACTTTAAACCGATTAAAATCTTAATAATATATTAAATAACCAAAATAGGTTATTTAACTTAAATTGAATTGGTAAAAATATTCTATATATCTTGAGTAATATATTTTTCAACTAAAATTTTAGTTTAAAATTCTCAAAACAATCAATAAATAAATATAAACTAATTAAAATTTCAATAATATATCAAACAACCCAAATAAATTATTTAACTTAATTTTAATCGGTATAAATAGGTTATATATCATAAATGACAGATTTTTCAACAAAAAATAAATTTGATTTTAAATACTATAGGTAATAAATGGATAAATCTGAATTGATTAAAATTAACTACTTATTTATTTCTAAATTTTTATGGTTACCTATTGTCAAAACTCAGTACTCACTTCATATTCAAATCACAAATTTTTTCTAAACATGGTAATGATGCTACTAATATAAAACTCTAAATATATAGAAAATATTTATAAAAAAATTTAATAGAAAAAAGTATTTTTATGTAACTAAATAATTTTCAAAACTTGTATTATTCTTCAAAATGCTAAAATCTCTTAGCTTCTCTCTCGTTCTCTCCCTCTCTTTGTCTTCTCTAGCATAACACTCACTCTTCCACTTATCCTTCAAAATACCAACCATCCTTACTAAATTTTCTTCTTTCATTTATTAACCCTCCCCATTTTTCCTCCTCCTTCTTTAATTACCCCCTTCCAATTTCTTCTTCGCCTTCAATGCATCCTACTTTTCCACCGACTTTGGTGGAAAAACTGGGGTGTGTTGTTGTTATTTTTTTTCCCCAAAATATTAATAAAATATTATTATTTTATAATAATAAAATATTATATTATATTTTTTTTTGAAATAACTTTTTTTAATACTTAGGATGTTGCACAATACACATCTTCAACTGGCATGACATGACTGTGACATGGGACTAGCCTCTCTCAAGACTCTTGCTTGCTGGACTAGCAGGACTTCTATTAGTAACTAGGATCTTCTCCCTGTGCATGTGCACGGATGGTTGTGCTGCATGTAATTTTTTTGCGGGTTATGTATTATTGTATTTTTGTAAGTTATATGAGAGGTGAGGATGGTTATCCAGTTGCCTGAAGTGCATAAATGTAAGTTAATCCCAGAGTCATAGAGTTCTAAATGTAATGTAATTGGGGTAGCTGTCATGTTGATAATATGAAGTTGAAAGGCATCTCACGAATTGGATGATGTGGTCACTCCAAATGGACATTTTGGAAGACCTTACAATATACCACACTAAGAATAACATTGGTGGAAGAGCGTCCGATAGGATCTTCTCCCTGTGTAACTATTGTTTATGGAGGCTCTTTGTTAAGTATGATATTTGATTAATTCAAGCGTAAAAGGGGAGGTGAAGAGGGAAGGACTGTCATGTGAGCTGCTTAAATGTAAATAATTCTCATTTTATTATAATGCATCACATGACAGTACTATGTAATTTTAACGAAGGAAGTTCTCATACTAATAGTGTGCAGATGCCAGCCAGCCGTGACGATGAGAACAAGGTCATTCTGAGTGCACATTCTGGAAGACTTCCCTGTAGACCATATATTTTGAGACTGCCCATATTCTTGACCCTTGACAATGAGACATACAACTGTCCATGTTCACATGTGAACACTGACTTGGGCAAGTACAAACTGATGTTGGTTAATAACTGGCCCTGGCTCTTGTTGATGGTCATCGCAAAAAAGATGATGAACGGGAATTGTCGTCTGGTCATTTTGAATAGGAGGGTAGTTTTTGACGGATTCATGTCCATGTAGTACAAAAAGGCTAAAGTTTAAAGAACTTAACGTGGAGGAAAAATATACATCATAGTTTATGTTTCTTACAAAATACATGTGAAATTTTATACGGATCAAATATATATATGTATATAGAATATATAACAAATACACAAATAACCATCATGGACATACATATAAATGCAAAATACATACAATATGTAAATTATATTTTACATATAATTTGTTTGGCCAAATTGTTTACATATAATTCAAAGTGTATATATATATTATATGAATATCTTGCATAATATTTTAAAAAATATATGTATAATGTATATAAAACAAAAAATGATTAATTAACATGG